TATCTATTCCAAGATAAATTACGTTGCCTATAGATTGTTCAGCACAATATTTTACCTAACATTGGCGAAGCTGTGCACTAAATGTACAGATGTATCAATAATGTATCACTAATTCGTAATTAATATAAGCTTTTATGTACAGTATATATTATCGTAAGAAGTTCCTTACAAATATTTAGAAATGTACGCAGCTGTATTCTGCATAAACATCCGTATGTTTACTATTTATTCATTACAATAACATTATCAGACTCAGATATCTTTAGTATATGAAAGTCATTAAAAATTGATATGATAGGCCTGATTCTTTATAAATCTATTCTGACCTCCTATATGATTTCTTTCTATTCGATGTCTCGAATTAAAACGTTCTAAAGAAAATCTTTTAAAAATTTATACTAAAAAAATGCAAACAGAAATTCCAGTTGGATTTCTGATTCACCCGATATTAATTAAGTATTCAAAATATCGTTTCTTTCCATTTGAATAATTACTTTGTTATTTCTGGCAGTTTTCGTTACACTGTATGTCACTCCATGTTAACTAATAACATTAATTCTATTGCTTTTTGAGTATATTAACAAATGGCTCAGAACGACGTTCCTCCTCCAATTGAAATAAAATGCAACTATTGCATTAGTCGAGATCCGTAGAACAATTCTGATTCAGATTCACTTAATAAAAGTAAAAAATATTCATTATACACATTAGATCCTTATCTAGCGTCGTTATAAATAATATGTATCTCAATATATCACAACATGGTGGTGCCAAAAGCATTTAAAATTACGAAGTGTTAGCGTGCGTGAAACACTTATGAACGTGTTTCAACGTAAGTCTTTAACTCTGTGTACATTAAATTTCAGTGCTGAGTCATTAAAATTCTACCAATCTGTCTTTTGGTCTACGGGAACGATAAAAAGATATAACAAACAGTCTCTTCTCGCGTGTCTAATCGATTTCGAAATTCCTTTCGTAGGTCAACAATTTTTTAACATTGAATTATATAGCAACCAATCTCGTACTCAGCACAACTCGACTGTAATTCAATTACCGCGGCACACGTTCTCGAATGGTATCGTTACGCTGAACCGGCACCTTATCTACATTATAAAAGTTTCATATTTCTCGGTATTAAAGGTTTTCCATATTAATCATTTATACGAACGACGAGAAACCGGGCAATGGCGCCCTCGACCTCGCCATATTATTCATAATAATTTGTCCACCGTTTAAGCTGACAACAGCACTACCCTCGGGCTCGGAGTCAGTGTACGACGAATAATTTCTAACTGGTTTTTGCCGCTTCCACGACTGTCTTAACGAATCATTCACGTTAGCGTAATGATTCACAAAGGAATGTGGGTCCGATTGTACGCTTTCATTCTCACTTTCGGATCCCTGTTACAAAAATACAAGAGAAATAAATGGGTTTGCTTTATGCTAGCAGGTTTATCATATTTCTTTAGTCCACTGAGTATAGTTTGTTTACCTGTGAATCCGTTGAACTAATTTCAGAAGGTTTCTCTGTAACGCTACTGTCGTCGGGATTCTCATCGTATCCCTTCAGACTCTCCTCGTCGCTGTGATAGGCGACCGATGCTGGAGACGGTCTGGGAGGTGATTTACCTAACATCGTAGGAGGAGGCGGATGCATGGACTTCCTTGCCAGCGTGCTCCTTTTCCCCAAGGTACCGCAAGCATTAGCCATGTTGATCGCACCACCCCCTTGCCTTGATCTATAAAGTTCTAAATCAGACTCTTGTCTGTCGTCTGTGTCCATCGCCATAGACTCTTCTAACGTTTTTTGTGCTTCTTCTGGAAGAATTGTTCGACATAAGATTGTCTATAACTAATAAATAACTATGGAATTTACATGATATTTGTAAAGATATACATACGTTTATATTTGTAACTTTTGCTTTTCACGCATAGCACCGCTATGACCATTATGATGATTATGATTGAGGTTGCAGCTAGGGTTACCATGAACCAGGTTTGCCTGTAGAATGGCCTGTGTTGCAGATATGCATATTCGAGGTATAGTTTTGAAGGGGTTAATATCTGCAATAATAATATTGATCGTAATTAACATATTGTTATAAGAAATATTGTATTGTATTATTTACCGTTTCCGTGGAATACGCCGGATAACTAATTCCATAACGATTGTACGATATCACTCTAAAGAGATAGGACGTGGATGGAAGCAGATTTTGATAGGAAATAGAATATTCCGCCAATGGCCCGTTACTGCTGCGCACTATTGTCTGCCAACGGCTGTCATCTACAAGTGTAAACACACGTGGAATACACGGTTTGTCTCAACGCTAGAGATCAAATACAGTCGAAAACTTCTGCAGGTTTTCTTAGTGTTACGTAGCACAACAAAAATACGATACGTTTCTTCTGTCGTGAAAGATTTTCTGTGAACGGTTCCAACGATACTCGCTACTCAATCTTTTATTTACCTCGTCTAGTGTTGCCGATTTCAATTTTGAAACGGAAAACTTGCGAAGTTACACTTTGTCTTCTATATTACACGTTTGCGGGGCGTTAATGAAACGTTAGATGTAGGGAAGACGGTGGGAATACTGTTATCTAACAAGTCAAAAATTTAACTATCCGGTTCGGTTACATTAAAACAGCGGCATTCAAAGTCAAGATCTTTTTTTTTATGTACGTACGTACGTCTAACAGAATTTATGGAAAATGTCATGCTATGACATCATCATGCAATCAATAGTACAGATACCACTAACGAAAATATAATCACAGATTATTACAAACAGGAAGCCATATTGTAAACTCTAACAAATCATATTATACTGCCGAGGTCATCTAACACAATAACTGATGCTCAATATATTTACGTGCATTGACACTTACAATGCTGCCACTCTTCCATCGCTATATCATTATAAAAAATATAGTATTAGTAGAGAAAGTAATGCGTTTTCGTAATTTTATATTAAGTCTACCAAAATCGGAATGACGAAGTTACTCTGTTCAAACGTTTCTTGAATCTTTTTTTAAGTTTCAAGCCGTCGACAATTGTCACAGTTTCAGATTTGGGTGTGTGGCGTACACGCTATTTATGCACTCACCTTTCCGACGTGTTTCGATATAGTACCCCAGTATAGGCCCCTTTCCGGAAGCACCGTTAGTCCATTGTAATTCCACGCTGGACACCGTTTTGGTAACAGCAAGATTGCTAGGTGCCACTGGGGAACCTTCTTGCGGCCCTGTCGTCACATTCCCAGATATAGGCGGACCAAAATCAATGGTTTGAGCTCGAACCATAAAAGTATACGTCTCCTCCTCTTCCAGAGGTTGAATCAGTAAGCTAGTTTCTGTCACTTTTTGTTTCACCTGCTTACTGAAACCTGGAATAATGGGAAGTATCATTTATAAATGTGATCGTACGAAATCCTTAAAACAGTTTAGGAGACGTACGATCGTTTTGCTCCGCCGTTTCATAAGTGACGATGTAACCGACTATTTCACCGTTTCGCGACTTCGGCGCTTCCCAAGAGACACGAAGGCTGGTCATTGTGATCTCCGAGAACTGGAGATTGTAAGGTGGCCCTGGTATATCCTACAAACGACGTTTCGTATAATTCCGCGAACCGAGTGAGTAATTGTAGCAGTCGTTCAAAGTACCTGTTTAGTTCTGACAGTAATTGGCGGGGATCTTGGACCATCGCCAGCAGGATTGAATGCTAACACTTGAATGCGATACTCCGTGTACTTATCCAAAAAAACTAAGTTATGCGTTAAGTAGGATGCTGGCACAACCTCTATCTCTTCCTCCTGCTTGTTCTCTAATTCTTGAGGGGAATCGGTTACCAGATAAAAGATCTAGAATTTCAAATGGCAGGTAAATCCAGTTGAACATTGTTCAGTTTGAGAACAAAAGAAAAACAATACCTTGTATCCTAGTAAGTCTCCATTTTGCATATTAGCTTGCGGTGGTTTCCAACGTAAATGCACTTCCGTGGAAGAAATTGATTCTGCTTTTAAATGCTGCGGTTCCCCGGTAGGAACTGCTTCTCCAACATACACGGTCACCGGAGGACTCGACGGACCTTCCCCTTCAGAGTTGAAAGGCAGTACGACTACCTCGTAATACCTATCCTCGGTTAAATCGGTTAACACGATTTTTGTAGCCTGCGAGTCGAACAAAAGATTAATGAATTTTACAGTCGTTGGATTCAGACATTTACGATTGAGATCAATCACCTTTATTCCTAAAATTTCTTCCTTTGGCGTGTCCTGAAGAGCAGTTGGGAAATCGGAAACCGGTTGATAGATAACGCGGTAGCCGCCTGTCTCGTGATCTCCGCTCCAGTACACTTCGTTTATGGCGTTCCAGTGGACCTCTATACTAGAGGTTGTTATCGGTACGACTTTCAAACCACTGACACCTCGGGAAGGTGCTGCAAATATACAAGTAGATCATTTATCCCCATTGAGTAAATTCTGTAGTACTGAAGATTAAGTACCCGCTGGCAGGGTTTGGACTTGTACAGATTCTGTACTCCAAGTCGACGGGCCTATGTCGTTGGTGGCTTGTATTCGGAACTGGTAAAACGTGAAAGGTTTCAAATTGTTTGCCGTGTAAGACGTTAACGTTGGCTCCACCCTTTCGGGGATTGTCTGGAACGGTCCTGAGTTCTCTGATTGTTGCACCGTGTAATAACTGCAAAATAAATAAATAAAATAATTTTAACACGACGTCATACTCTCAGTGTTAAGAGTCATGTTTCTGGAATAAGAATCATTACCGCAACGGAGCGAATCCGTCGCGACCAGGCGTCCACGTGAACGTTATTTGTCGACTTTGTACTTGCGACCGACTAACTTGGGGCATCGATGGCGCTTGAGGACGTTCCCTGTTGTTCGTAGTGAAAACAAGAGCATACGCTGTTTTACCCCAGCCTAGCCTTGTTTGCGCTGTCACAGAAAACATGTAATACTTTTCTGGCTCCAAACTAGTAGCCCTGAAAAACATATGGTAATGTAGACTCAACCGGGAAGCAAAGTGTAATCAATTATACCTGAAGGTTCGATCCGACGCGGGAAATTCTTTGGAGAATTGATGGTCTTGACTATTGTTTAAATGGAACATGACCTTGTATGCTAAAATCTCCCCATTTGGGTCCTCCGGAGTGTCCCAAATGATACGAGCAGTGGTGAAGCTTACGTCAGGGAATGATACGTTCGACGGTGGTCCCGGAGCTGAAATAATTTGAATTCACTGTCTGCCGTTATAAAGGATGCCACATTTGTATCAGTGAAACGTACCATCTTCGAATGTTTGTACTCTAACTGGAGGGGTGCTCAATGTACCATCACCAAGTCTTGTATACGCTAATACTTGTACATGATACTGGACAAACTTTCTAAGCTCTGTCAGAGTCGTCGTGAAAGTAGTATTACTAGGAATGTTTTTATACTGGAATGCAGATCTAGCATTTGCACCATAATAAACTTTAAAACCTTCTATTTGCCCGTTCTGATGCTCGATAGGGACGTCGCCCCATTTCACTAATATAGTTGTAGAAGAGGTAGCGTTTGCTTCTACATTGATGGGCCCCATCGAAGGAACTAGACACAATGTATCGTGTATGAGTATTGAATAACTTTTGACAAGCGTACACAGAAGAATATTTTACCTGATTCTCGAGTCCTTTCAATGGCTTTGGGACTTATCGTAGAGGACCCAACGTCGTTGAACGCTTGCATTACGACTTCGTAGAGAGCATACTCTTCTATATTTTCTAATACATAAGAATTCGCCGTGTGATCGTCTATAGTTATACTTCTAGATATATTCGTCCTCACTTCTGTGTAAGTAACGTTATATCCCCTCGGATTGCCGTACCATTCTATCTGTTGCAACGGCTGTAAAGGGAACAATCGAATAATATTTCAAAGGTAAATGAATCAAATAATATTTGAAAAGAATTAGGAGATTGAAACTTACAATCCATCTGACCCGCAATTCTGTAGCACTCATCGCGCGAACCGTAACGTTCCTGGGAGGATGCGAAGGCGGTGCCTGAATTGTCTGGAACTCCTTCGTTGGCTCCGACGGTTGAGACGAACCGACGACGTTGTTAGCGATTAATCTCAACTTATATTGCATGAAAGGTATCAGACTACCCACGGTAATTGTACTAGCATCAGGATCCGAAACTTCGTATATGTTGTACCAGGTGGTATTTCTAGTCGTCTGCGCTTGCACCGTCCATTTCGTTATGGACGAGTTGCCGTCAAATCCTGGCGTGAACTGAAGTACCACGGAAAACGCGTCTATATTAGACAATGCCAATTTAGTAGGCGGCTCTGGAAGAACAGGCTCAACGCCCGATTGAATTATGGCGATTTTTGGTTTACCAGGACCCACCGAGGTCCAAGCAACGACTTCGAACTTGTAGTGAGTCATTGCCTGCAAATGTTCGATTTTCGCCGAGAGAACGTCAGCCGTGAAATTATCGGATTTCAACGATTCCGATACATCCTTGATCATGTATTTCAACTGGTAACAAACGAGGATTCCGTTGATCTCTTGAGGAGGACTCCATTTGACTGTCAGCGAACGATCACTGATGTCCTCGAACTGCAAGTTCTCCACCTCCTCGGGCACGTCCTCGCGCGTACGAATTTTGACTGGTAAACTTCTCTCGCCGTCGCCCGGATCGGTGAAGCACAGCACGGTTATATTGTACAAGGTATATTTCTTTAGTCCAGTCATGATGGCACTTTGTTCCGCGAGGGGGTCGAACAGGCTAGGTGGCACTGTCATTGACTTGTATTCGCTCGCCTCGGTGAAATTCTGGCTGATCCAGGCTTGTAGCTTGTAACCCTGGTTTATGCCGTTGATCTTCTGCGGATTCGGTGGTTTCCACCAAACCTTGATCGCCGTTGAATTTATGGCTTTCGCTTTGACGTTGGTTGGCGGAGCTTCCGGCACTCCTTCTTTAGTTTTGATCTTCAAGCCTTCGGTGAATACCCCGACGCCTTTATCGTTGTACGCTGCTATCTGCACGATATAGTCCTTCCATGTAATTAAATCGGTGATCAGGTAATTTCTTTGTGCTTCGTTGGTGATGTTTTGTATCGTCCAGGGACTTTCGTTGTAACCGTACAATCTATACTTCAATATATATCCTAAAATATGGCCGTTTCGATATTCCTCCATGGGAAGTTGCCATTGCGTTATTATCTCCGAAGACGATCGAGCGGAGCCGACGAATCCCACTGGCGGTCCGCTCGGAGGCTCCTGAGGGAGAGCCACTATATTGCTCGGATCGGAAGGTGGGCCTTCGCCGACACTGTTCTCCGCGCTCACTCTGAACTGATAGGCGGCAGCTGCCTTCAGATTGTTCAACAATACCCAACGACTTTGCGCCGAGACGTTGTCGTTCTCGGTGATCCAGTTCAGAGCGGAGTCCGGAATAGGTCCAAGATCGGAGACCTCTCTCCTCTGGATTATGAATTTTCTGGTCGGACTGTTGCCATCGAACCCTGGAACCCAACTAACGTTTATGGTGCGAGGGGATATTTTCTCCACTCGGCTAGCCATAACGTTGATTGGTGCGAAGGGCAACTCGATCACGCTAAGGCGCGCCGATCGAGTCTCGTTTCCGCCGGGGGAAACCACCGAGCACATGTATTCACCCACGTCGGAAGCACGAACTGCAACTATTTCTAGTGTGCCATCGCTGCGCATCTTCACTCTCTGACTGGCGTGGGTATTTATAACTCTGCAAGAGTCGAGTAACGCGTGAATTAAAAGGCGACGGATCAAATTATGTTTACCGGGTGCAATCGTTTTTAACGCGTCGAGTGCGGCGCCGATTTTGCTATACTTTCCGCTCAGGCGGCGGCGCGCGAGCATTCGATGCCGAACGCTAAACTAGACACTGCGACAATGGTGCAGGCAATGCACATGTATACAATGTATAAACATAAGATAACGGGGTGGGGAAGGCCAGAGAGACAAAAGTGCGAACACCAAGAAACGATCGGTCTGAAAAAGCCACGGGAGTACACTAAATTTTAACGTAAATTTTTTAATCGTCATTAATAATTGAACCCTTTAGAATGCTGGTCTCGTGCACCGATGTCGACCAAACGAGAAGTTCGCTGTCAGTCCCTAGAATCCACGCCGCTTGAACGGAAAGTTCACTGTCAGTCCCCAGGGACTGACGTAGCACTCAACGTGTTAAATCATTTTTAAATCAACACAAACGCATCGACGCGATATTGCTGCTGTTATACGTACTGTGAATTGTGAAACCAGGCTATATCGTACAGAACACTGGGGTCGTTCGAGACTTTGCACTGCAGCTCCGCAGTGTACCCGAGAAGCACAGACGTATCAACAGGTGGTTGGATAATCTGAGTTCGCACTGAAACGAATAACGTTATGTAGCACCGTCGGTCTTATCATCGTGGGCGTTTCTTTTTTAAACAGTGCCCTACCCAAGACGGACAGAAACGCAGAACCGTTTACAGAACCAGCTTCGTTCGCTCTGATGCAAGTGTACTTCCCTGCGTCGTTCGGTTTCACCGCGGCAATCAAGAGATCCCCGTTATCCAATACCTGCACTCTTCCAGCGATTTCCACGGGAGACGTATCTGTTGATCAATTGCAACTGTTAGATAATATTGTGATAGGTAACAGAGCATGCTTGTGAATTATTTAATTAATTATTTTACCGTTGTAAATCCATGTAGTATTAGGTATTGGAGCTGCTATAGCGTTGCAGGCTAACGTTGCGTCCTTCCCATCTAATATAGTCAGATTCTGCGGACCATTTTCCATAATTGGTCCCGACGCTGGAAGCAGTAACGAGAAACGTGTCATCATTTTGCGTATTAGCAATTCTGTTGAATTTCATGCACGCAAATAAAGGCAGAAACAAACAATTGGTCACAACAATTTTCCCAATTCAGTGTTTTCGTTTCAGACAGGAAATGTGAATATCTCGAGAGGAACATTTACAATAATTGAAAGCAAGTTTGCAACGGAAAACGCTGAATTTACCCATACCTGAATCGTATCTTTGCAATAAGAGGTACTCTATCGACACTGCCATTGTTAATGTTCAAATACATATACTTTCTAACACGTCTACGAGTATAACTAATTGTAAAACTTCTGTTTCTCAAGCTAACTCCTAGTTTAAGAGTAAATACTATTTATGATGTGTTTCACCGTTACTAATGATCTCCATTAAAGTGCAAGAACAGTATTACTCGTATATCGAAATCTATGAAAGCGGGATAATCTAATTTGATGCGCTTCTCTTACGATTATTCTCTATTTATTCTCTATTCATACTTCAAACTAATGACACTACGGTACGTATGAGTCGGCGTTTCGAGTATATTGCAATTCTTCAATAAACAATGTGTCCCGTACAATATGCAAAGGCATCTTCATCGTGCTCTATGGATGTTCTTTCTATAGCTACTAGAGAAGAAAAAAAAAACACGGGTACAGCTGAAGGAAGCAAACATTGTGATGTGATATGCATTCGTCAAGCATGTGCCTAAGGAATCATCAAAAACGTGGGTACTTTCGTGGCATCGGAATCTTACTGTCTGGATATTGAGAGAACTTAAAACGGCGATCAGATTGGCGAACTCTGACTACATTGTAGCCAGCTGCCCAGCGGACAACTCTCTTTTTCAGTCTGCTTTCTAATCCTTCTGCCCCACAAAAAACACGTCATTTGTAACAAATAAAAATAAATAACTAATAAACAAAGGATGATCATGAGATTCGATAAGAAACGACCGGATAACATTGATATACTAACTTTTTGCCTTCAACCAGGTGTAACTGGATGCTTCGCCGGCTTCGTTAGAAGCGAGGCATTGAAACATTCCCGAATCATGCATAGTCAATTTTTTAATAGTCAACGATCCATCTTCGTCCATCGCGTACCTATACACACATACAGACACGAGTAACATCAAGGTAATTCGATGGTGACACGCTGGCTACATTAAATTCTCGTTGTACCTAGATCCAAGAAGATGATCGACGGGCTCAGCATTGCGAAACCAGGTGATGTTAGGGGAAGGAACGCCAATAGCATCGCACGGTAAAGTTACCATCGAGCCGTAATCGCTCAGAGTCTCTCTCTTCAATTCTGCGACGAACGTTGGCTTCTCTGCAAAACACGGTACGAGTTTAACCCTTTGCGCTCCGAAGTGCTCTTGATTTCTCACTTGGTTTCTCGCGCTCTATTTATTTATTCGATAATATTTCGAAGTCATTGAAATGTTACCTTTAAATGGTACAACTGTGATACCGCAAATAAATATAAAAAAATTGTTAAAAAGGCAGAGGTTGCAATAGAATGGAATGTCGAGTCTAACTCGACATAGGACTGCTAAGGGTTAATCGATAATTGGACAGTTCCGCGGATCAAATATCAGCTTAACATCTAACAGTCACAGTACCAGCAATTATTCCTGCTTACCATACACAACAATTTTTGCACTAGCATTCACAGTAGGGTATCCGCCGCTCCGTAAATCCACGTGACAGGAGTAAACACCGGTATAAGTCACATTCGCAGATATTAACGCTAAAGTCCTGTTCCAAGAGTCGTTAAAGCTGTACGATATCCCAGAGTTCTCAATGGGAATCCCGTCCTTTGTCCACAAAGTTCTCAACTCGTGAAGCGATCTGAAATTTCCCGTCGGTCACCATCGGGTCGTTAAACCTCGTCAAAGAAATCGCGCATCGGTGAAACCTACCTAGCGTTCGCTATACAATGAATGTAAGTAACAGCTTGATTCTTAAGTATCTGCATATCTTGCGGTTTCACTATGATGGTGGGCGCTACTTCTGCGTTCGCGTCGCCGGTCACTTGCAACTTGAAGAACGGACTGTTCTCTTCCTTCCCTAATTGCGTGTTGATGGCTCTGGCCCTGTTCAAGGTAAACAGAACATTGCAAAGACAATCGTCTCGGAGACCAACCAAATCGAATAGCATAGTTCACTCGATTGAACGATGATTATTCGAAAACGTTTCTATATTATAAATAATGCTATGACATCCAGCTAGATGTACGTGCGGCACTTGTTAACACACTGTCTTTTCATAGAGCAAAATAGACAAAATGGAAAAAATATAATACCAAATCATTTCATTGAACTGTACTATTATTATTACATGTTCGTTTAGCTGAATGTCACCGCAGTATGTAGTATTATCTATAATATAGAACTGTTTTCAAGTAATCAACGATTCTATCCCCGATACGAACCTGTACAAGCCTTGGTCGCTGTCGGACGCGTTCAAGATGAGCAGCGTATGATCGACCGCCGCATATTTGATGCCGTAGAGCAATGATCCATCGGACGTGAACCACGTGACGGCGGGCGCAGGGTGACTTTCAACCGGTGGCAAAGTTAGAACAGCTGCGCTGCCAGATTTTACGGACACTATCCTCTCCGTGAGATCCTCGAACACCCCCATATCTGAAGATGAAGTTACAGTTTCATGTTCGTGGCACCGGATGGTCAATACTGTTTCTCCTTTGATCGCTTAAGAAACCTTACGACACTTACAGGCTACCGCAAATGTAATCCTTTCGCTAAATATAGATCCCACGTCGTTCGTGGCCACGCAGTGATAGACTCCTGCGTCCTCCCTGCGTGTGCTCTGTATTCGGAAGTAAGGCTCGGAGGTAAGCTCGTTGGTAAGCGGCACGCCATCTTTGAACCACTTGTACTTCGGCTGAGGGTATCCTGTGGACACGGCGCACAAGCAAATTAGGTTAACGCTAGGTTCGCGGAACGCGTCAATTTCACGCAGATTGAATTTCATAAACATTATTTGGTAAAAGTTTCAATCGGTCGATTTCTACGTCTACAATTTCCAAAATCTAAATGAACGAATGTCAACTTCCCCAGGAACAATAGAATAAACTGTACAATAAATGCCCGTGAACTTAGTGTTAATTTATGTTCGAGAGCAACAAACGACACTTAGATTTCAAATTCAGTTGGAAATTTTCGTCGCGAGTCTGACGCGATACTGTAGGTCAAGGGGTGAACCGAAACAGCTAGTGTTCGAGACTCCCGAGGATCAAACCGTGTTCCGTCCGCCGCGATTTACAAGCCAAGGTGTTAATATTTTCCAGGCGTACCGCGGTATTTCACGTTCGGCACAGGAATATGCACCGTACTGCGATCTAATACTATTAGCACAGGGTCACGCTATCGTGTTACGGCAGTAGGCAGCAAGCGTAAGGCTTCATCTGGTCACCGTCTCATCCGCCTGTTACCCGATATTTCATGAGAACAATGGGACACCGTGAGGGAGACTGAAAATTTGGCGCGTCCACGGAATAAACACAAAGGAAACATTCGAAGTAAATCAATTTCAATCGGATATATCCTCGTCGTTTCCGCGATTCCTAGCGTGGAACGTCGACCCTTCGCGCGCGAAGACTCTTTGGAACGTAGTTTCCCTTTGTTCCATTGTTTAACCCTTTGCACTCGAGAGGTGACTCTCGGTCGCCACTTGATTCGACACAGTAAAGCTATAGAATGTGATATTTAATGTTGAACTTTGTATAATCGATACGTGAAACGTTGGAATAAAACAGCTTTGAATTAGTCTCAAAGAACATCTTCTCGCAAAGAAATGGTAAATATTTCTAGTAAGAAACATCCGAGTGCAAAGGGTTAACCCCTTGCCGTACAATGACGAGTGAGACTCGCGACTGATGCGTAATTTAGAAGTGAAACTTCGTTCGCGAAGGGTGGAAAGAAACGAAAGAATAACGTTCTTCCGAGGATTACAGTTTTTAAAGGGTTACGAGAGATCGAGTAACGTTACTCGAGGAAAATGCTTCCGTAATTGTCGCGCTCGTCCGCGGTTCGCGGGAAACCCCGGGGAAAAGGGTTCTTAATCAATTTCAGATTACTCGTTCCGGGTCAGGTCTTCGTTGAAACGTACTCACCTATCGCTGTACACTCCATAAATTTCGTTCGATTCTCGCTGAGAATGTTGCCGCTGCTGGAAGGCTGGCTGGTGAACCGCGGCTCTTCGAGCGTCTCTGGAAACGGAACGGGAAAGATGAATTGCCGATGAAATATGAATACATTGTAAATCAGAGAGTCGCTTTTTCCCTAATCACGTCGCGCGACGCAACGTTGAATCGCTACGTTTCCATGAATTCCTTGAATCGCTCGTCGATGACGATTCTCAATAACCACCGAGCAGTTCAATTCAGTTTCTGAAATTTCTATGTAGAAACTCGCAGAGTGCGTCCGTCGAGACTTTAATTGATTTACTGTTTAGTTTTCGCGGTGATGAATCAATTTCTTTAATGATTTCTCGGGTAAATATCTATTAGCTTTCTGATCATCGAAAGGCGTCGGGAATTGGTGGTTTTCCGAAGATCGGAAATTGAAGAAATCCGGAGATCGAATAGGAAATCATTGCGAAGGGAGAAGCGAGTGACCCCGTCGCGGTCAATTACATCGGAACCACCGACTGATCCGTGCAGATTAAATTAGGGGTGCAGCGATGGGTTGATCCTGGTACCCTAGCGGCCCGCGCGCATATCATTCTTCGCGCTCAATTGCATCCGTACCGGGAAATGGGTCGGGAAACATATGGAACGAATAAAGACCGATTATTCAAAAATGTGGCGGTTGAATATATAATAATTGGAGATACAATAGTGGAAAATACATCGGCTGAAGATTCGTTCAATGGCAAACCATCTGGTTAGAATTATCGGTTGTCGCTAAACAACAATGAAAACTAAGGCGATCACGATTCCCAATTAACGATTACATTACGATCACACTGCCCAATCGAGGGTGAAATATTCGAACACGCGAATTCCTCGTCGTTCCTCTTCTCCCAACGAAGCTTCCCAACCGATGGCGAAGGGAGCAGACAGACGACAACGCGTTAACGTTACGCGCTAATACTTCAGTTTCGGTTTTTCGGTGAGAAAGTCTGCGGATACTCCCCGTCTCGAAAAGTCAGCGGACCGTGGCAAGAAAAGAGGGTGCACGTGTCAGTTTACGTCCATGTGACTTGGCTCTACGGCATCCGGCTGTTCGCATTCTTTTCTCTCCTCTTCATCCTTTTGGTTCACCGTAAATTACGCGGCGCTCGCTCTCTCTCGCTCTCTCTCGCTCTCTATCGCCCGCTTCCAACCCGATGACTCAACGCGTATACTCGGTGGTTGCGTGGAATTCGAGACCGTCGCGCTTCTTATCCACCGTGAAACATAACTTCATAGTCCCGGGTCCATCGGAATCCGAGTCTCACCTGCGCGAGGCTCCCGCCGGACCTTCCTACGACCTTTCTTTGTTCGAACCGAGCGGATCGGGCCCAGGCGAGACCGGAGCGTCGGGATTTCGCTTTTAGGGAAGGCTCGAACCACCCCGACGCGTGAAATTGTCAATTTGGGGCTAGAGGTTTATTATTCGAACATTTCCATGACAGTAAGGTTGTCCGTAGAAACAGGATTCGATGTTTCACTCGATATGCAAGGGGTTGAAGGGTTAACCCTTCGAGACGAAATGTTCATATAAGGGGTTAATTACTCAACAAGAGAGTAGCACGTAGTTTCCTTTTCTCCTATCAACCCTTACACTGCCATTTAACCGGGAAAATCCGTAAATATGGCGACCGATATCTCACTCGCGATGTTTCTATTCGATCCTAAATTTGTATCGAGAACTCGAAGGTTCCATACACTCCGAAGAATCTTCCGCAAGGGTTAATCGTTCAGATGATGTAGAGCAGCAGAGCGGAGCACGCGGAGCAGGCGTCGCGTCGGGGAGGAATAATAATCTGGCCGCGTTCGAGTAGGACAATCGGAGCGGCCGCTCGTTCGAGGGGGATGATTTATCCCGCAGCACATGCTCTCGCGTTATCGTGCCATAGAAAAGCTTTCGGTGCATGTTGCGTTCAACTAGCGAACCCCTATTTTAAGCACGCCGCAGCTGTCGGCCCGTGCATTTACGCGGAGGGGCGGCCGGGGGCGTGGATGATCCGCTTTTACGAACGCTAACCGTGAAAACCGGATCTCCACCGGCCGGGAAACGCGTTCGTTCGAGGGATTCCTCGCCCTTTTCATATTAACGAACAATAATGGAACTAATGATCACGAAACGAATTTCCTCGATCTACTCGACTCACTGCGAACTGTCCTCTGGACATGCTGTTCGAGATGCTGATATTTTTCGGTTCGGATAATTTCGGGTGAGACGCCTTGGTTCCTCTTCGATTAGTGTCTGTGTTTCTAATTGCAATTAAGCGTGTACAGCAACGTCTAAGAGGTAATGAACTTCGAGTACGAGTCGATTCAGTGGTTTCAACCCTTTACGATCGAATACCGTCGTAACGGTGACTTCGAGCTTCGATGTCTGTTATTTAATTACCGGACACCTGGATTGATATTCGATTGCTTATTACTTAATAGGTTAATCTCTCGGTAAACAAGTTTCCGATACCCCGTGCGTGCTGGACGGTCTCGTCTAGGCTTGCCTAGAAGCTGCCCCGGTTTAACCACCCCGAAAGAAACGGAAATAATTTCTGTTGCCGCGTATCGATCGATGTCAGACCGGTTACTGGCCGACAAAACACGTTGCCATATCATTAGCCGTGTATATCCGACTCACGCAATGAATACCGTACACGAAATCCCCCTTCCCTTGCCCTGGAACACTGGCAACCTTTCAAACGATCCTCGCGACCACCTAGAAACTGTTCGCGTTGACACCATTCGTGCCGCAGTGGCTACAAAGAAATATACAAAAAATGAATGCTTTTGATCCGAGATTAGCATTCAATTCTGCTTCGCGGCTTATCTGCGCATACGTTTGAAATGTTATTTAAAAAAGCACGGAGCACGAAGAGCGACACGTTTCTCGCGAGCAGATTAAAATGCTTGGAAAACGAGAAGGTGATCGTGGAAGTTAGATAGAATTTTCCAGAGTTATAAGGAATCTGACGTCGAATCAGAATATTTAATAATATAAGTAAGTAAATAGTAGTATAACTTAGGAACTGCCTTAAGAAATAATAAGAAATATTCCGCAAACCGCTCGAAACTCTCGTGACAACGTTATTCTTCGAAACTACCGTTACCTTTGTTGTTAATTAGCCGAACAGCGTGGAACCGACGCTCGCGAGAGCACTAACAGAAGCAAAGGAATTCCCGCGACGAAACGGCGCGAACGAAAATTAGGCGAGTCGTTTTCGGCGCTCTCCTCGGGCCGGCCATTGAGACGGGGCTCGAATGCGTGCTTATGGCGGCCGGCCGGCCGGCCACTCGACGCCCGATACTCGGAGAGCTTTAATAAGTGGAGCACATGAGGGCTGCCACTCTCGAATCTTGCATACCACGCAGCCGCCGGCGACGTATTTGTCCTGCATTCCAAGCCACCGCATTTTCGCCACATTTTCGCCCAGAAATCGCTTCTTTTCCTCTTTCCCCGAAAAAAATACTACCGACATAAGGCTGCGAAACAAGTAAACAAGTCTATATAAAAATTGAAAGGTGTTAAGGCGAGTTCGATGAATCCACCACGATCTACGATGTATGAGATATAAGAAAGACAGTAGATATAGGGCGATCGTATGAAAAATCGGAACTGTTTAGTAGATTCTATGCTTCCGCGGCCTGGATTGTTACATTGGAACTCGCTTTCGGTATCTGGAAGGAAAATGTTCCCAACGCTTCGCCATCGTTGCAGCTGGCTTCGTCAAGAGGGCCAGAGACACACTGATAATGGTATATCTCAACTTTTTAGTTTCCACTTTGTTAACGTTACAACTACCGGGCAGACAAATTGACTTTTTTCATTTTCTCTATGGAAAGTTCGAGGGTGCATCTATCGAGACTTCAATCGATTCAGTCTGCGTACCGCTGAGTCAGTTTCTTTAACGATTTCTTGGAGAAGCATCTGTTAGCTTTTCAGTAACTGCAGAAGAAAGAATTCAGGAACGGGTCGTTTTGACCTGTCCGCTGGTTTCAGCGTTAATATTCGTTTCGATGAGTGTTTATTTGAAGCCAGTGCGTTAAGCTTCGTTCGAAAAACCGACGAGACTTCCCAAACAATCGAATACTTCCCCTCCGCGTCGAAGTTTCGAGGAAGAACCGATCGGATCGCGAACAAAGCGCGGATGGCGAAGACGATATCAAGACGGCCGTGAAACGATGCGTTCCCCGACGAAAGTAACTTCCTCCGCAGCTGTGCAAACGACGGAGGATGTTTTACTCCCGACGATACACCGGTTCGCCCCGTGTGTTTGGACTCCGTCGGGAAGAGGGCAATACATTAAATCGGGAATGAGCTGCCGAAAGCAAATAAACAATTTTTCCGAGCGTCGTGTGCTTCTCGGGGCACTTCTAATTGCTCCATATTTCTTCCGTTTCCTCGTTAAAACGGGTGATTATCTCCATATGCGAGTCGCGTGAAACAATCGAGTCGATCGGCAGCCGGCGCGGTTAAGTCCAGACAGCAAAAATTGAAGAAATTTATGTTTCGGCTTCTGAAATAATTGTACTACGTATTCAGAAGTTGCAGAAACAAGTGATTTCCGATCTAGGAACAATGAACAACCGAGCAACTTCCCTTAAATAAAATTATAATGCCACATTATGAGGTGCAAGATCGTTTCCCGAGTTTCTCTTCACCGAACACGCGATATTTCGAATCCGATACAATTTTAAAATACTATTTTCCATGAAAACTGACACCACGGTTTTACTTACACCGTTATGATTCTCCGCGCGCCATATGTTGGGCCGCAAGAATCATTCGAACGGCTCACGGGAGATTTACGGGACGTGGAAAAATTCATTTACAGGACGCACGGAAGAATTAGAGCTCGTTTTTCCTCTCTTTGACGGTGTTCATTACGGATCGCGGCGCGATATTTTTACCGCTGGATTACGGTATGATTTCTCCTCGGATTATCGCTGCGATATTTTTACCAGCGGATTAATGGTTAACACTTTTTCCGACTCAGTCACGTTCGCGACTATTAGGGACTGGAAAAATAGGTAGAAAGGTTAGCTTTAAA